AAATTATATATGTGAAAATAAAAAAATTGTTGCAATTTAAAAAGTTCTATAGTTTATTAACTATTACGTAAAACAAAGTTAACTCTGTAAGGCGTATGTATACATTTCATTAAAAATATTTTATCACTAAAATCATTGAATTGGAAAAAAATAATACAATAACAAAATATCTAAAAATGATGCATTTGTAGTGCTAGGAAAATACTATACCTACAGCTAAGTTTTTTTTTCTTGAAATCTTTTAAGGATTGAAATAGTTAACTTTTAATTAATGAATCTATTGTACACTATACAAAAAAAAAATGAGTTAAACATTATTTCACACTTTATCATCACTTCTTAATTCTTCCATTTTATTGGCAATATTTCTTTCCATTTCAGCTTCATATCGCCATCTCCAATAAGCTGCCTAAAATTGAAATATTAAAATTAAATTATAAAAGTATGAGGTTTCTTTTAAATATTGATTAAAAAAATATTTACTTTTGAACGATCCCATAATGCTTCAAATGAATCTAAGGCAGGCCTTACATCCAAAACAGCCACTTGATATTTATTTGGTGAATTATCGGTACTATAATAATCAATAACATATCGTACTTCTTTTCCACAACGATCTACTATCCAATCATGTCTATCAAAAGGTATTTCATATCCCATCCAATTTCGTATTCTTGCTCTTGGAGAAAAATGTTTAGCTTTACCCCCAAAGCTTTTCAACTTTGGATTCATACATTCATTTGCATGGAATGCTTCCCATTTTAGCACCTCTCGCCAAGCAAGCTCATTGTTGATGTTGTGAATTTTGATTATAACATCCATATCTTTTGGTGATAAATCATCATCTTTCCAACGCCATCCTTTTCGTAACATTGCATTCCAAAACATCTAAACAATTTCAAAACAGTTTTTACTGTTTTTAGTAAAAAAATGTTGTATTATATATATTTGAATTATTTGTGTTACTTGAGCTGACGGATAAACCCAAAAGTCACCCTCTCCTTCTGACTTTGGTATAGTAGATACTTCTCGTTCAGTTGGTAGTAGGAATGGTTGATCTGGTGCTGGTTTCTGATTTGGAGGTGGCATCTATGAATATAATACATCATATACATAGTGATTCAATAGTTGGTTTAGAGTTATTAGTAGGGCTCGGATTTTAAAGCAAATGCTTCTATTTATATATTTAAGATAGAAATCTAATTTTTATACATAAATTCGTTTCACGTTAATCTGATTCGAAATAAACGAATTTATTTTTGCTTTTTTTTGCTTTTTTTAGTATAAATGCTTTTTTATTGCTTTTTTCAGTTATTCAAGCTGTGGAATTTTTATTTGTTGTTATGCTATGAAAATAAAATAAAAGTGTTTATTTACTTAATAAGAAATGTGAAAACCCACAATAATGACCGTGACCGTACCATTAGTGCGAAACGTCATTAAATGTAATGATTGAAATGTATAGATTATCGATCTACAGATAGCTTATGGGTCGATAGCTTATCGACTATTGCATATAGTTTTTAGAACCTACGCTCAGTACTCGTATAACATCGATCTAGACGTGTTTAAAATTTAAGTTTTATAGTGATTTATAGTGTTGTAATTTATTAAAATGCCAAAAGTCAAAACGAATGCATTTTTAAAACAATTAGTGTTAGAATTTGGTGAAGAAATTTTTCAAANTGCTTCAAATTTCATATCGCAAACTTTGTGAAACAAAAGTGTCACATGAAAAAAAATATAATATACAACAGCATGTACGGAGAGAAAAACATGTTCAAGCTGTTAAAAGACACGAAAATGAAAAGTCTGCATTACTTTAACCATTTTTACAACAGTTTAGTAGTCAATCAGATTTTAATGCCGATTTATGTTCAACATTGGTAGCTGCAAATATTCCAATGAATAAACTAAATAATAAACATTTTCGTGAATTTTTAACAAAATATTGCAAAACAACTATTCCTGACGAGTCGACATTACGTAAAGGATATTTTAATTCATGCTATGAAAATACATTGGCGAAAATTCGTGATACAATAACAGACCAAAAAATATGGGTGTCTATTGATGAGACTTCGGACTCTGTACGTCGTAATGTTGCAAATGTAATAGTGGACACATTACAACCACAAAATCCAAGTAATATGTTCGTTATTCACACAGAATACTTGGAGAAAGTGAATCATAGTACAATATTCCAACTATTCGATAAAGCTATGCATATTTTGTAGGGAAATGGTGTAAAACATAACAATGTTTTGCTATTTGTCTCAGATGCGGCGCCTTATATGAAAAAAGCGGGTGATTGTATAAAAGCGCTTTACCCAAAACTCATACATGTGACTTGCTTGGCACATGCATTACACAATGTTTGCGAAGAAGTACGTGCACACTACCAAGATGTAGATCAGTTGATTGGAGGAATGAAAAAAACGTTTTTAAAATGTCCCAAACGTACAGCAATCTTTAATGAGAAATGCCCAGAATTGCCAAATCCACCAAGATTAATAACGACCAGATGGGGTACATGGATAAAAGCTGTCCAGTATTATTGCAAATATTTTAATCAAATAAAAAGTGTAATTGAAGACTTCGAAGAAGAATCTCAATGTGTTAAGGTAGTGAAACAACTATTTCAAAATGTATCTCTTTAATTAAATATTGTGTATATTTCAACCAACTTTGGATTTCTACCAGATATTATTACAACATTAGAGGGAAAAGGTAACTTTTAACAAAGTATTTAAACAATTTAACATCATAATACTAAATTATATGTATAATTTTAGGCGAATAGTTGACAAAATGTATAAATATCGTGTTAGATGCAGAAAAAAAGTTAAATGAAGCTCATGGAGATATTGCAACTGCTATTTCTGGTAAACTAAATCGTGTTCTTTTGAAAAACAAAGGCTGGAAACAATTACTGGACATCAATACTATACTGTGTGGCGTTTCATCAGATGAAATTAATTATCATGGGTTTGATTTAAACGAAACCTCTTGCATGAAGTATGCACCTATCACTTCAGTGGATGTAGAGCGTTCGTTTTTGATGTATAAAAACATCCTGTCTGACAAGAGAGTCAGTTTCACTACTGAAAATCTTACCAAATACATGGTAGTAAATTCTTTTTTTAATTTAAATTAATTTTTCAATTTTTTTTCATTCAGTTTTATAAAATTATAACTAATTCGTGTTAATTTTTAGTCGTGCTTTTTTTTTGCTTTTTTTAAAAATAAATATGCTTCATTTTTGCTTTTTTTTTTCAATTTTATGCTTTTTTTGTTATTTATTATGCTTTAAAATCCGAGCCCTAGTTATTAGGTATATGTCCTGGCTTATGAATCCATGAGAATATTAATTTTATCACAGTATACATTTTAGGTTAGGTTAAGTACTGACAACTGAAAAGATTCCAGAACTGAGAGTACAATTAATGTAATGATTTAAAATAGTTAACAAAAAAACTAATAGTGATTAAAAACTATTTCCTCTATAATACTTAAACTGATAATAAATTCATAACGTCTATAAACAAATAGAGATTACTTTAATGTATATATTTAGGCAATCATAGTATTCTATAATTTTAATAGGCAGTGTAGGTAAAATTAAACATTACAGAATTGCCCGGTCTAGGTTGGACAATGTAAACTACAATAGTTTATTCATTATTTAATTTAATTTAATTAAAAAAAAACTATCCCTAATAAATTATTTTTATTTTGAAAAATATATTATAACTTGACTATTTTAACTACTTGGGCTTTTAGACTAGACATGTAGTTATATGGTTAATTTTTTTTATTTTAGGTTACAATGCTAAATTTAACACAAGTAATGTATAGACCTGCTGGGCAAAATAGTATTTTAATGTTTTGCCCCGAAATACCAGGTAAAGTATACATACTTATACTTTGTCTTAAGAGGACGTCGCACCCGCATATTATGTTGTCTACTTGTCTCCGTCTTACACACGTACAACATACCAAATTTCACTCTCGGCAGATCACGTTTAGCTTCGTTAATTTAAAAATTAGAGTGAATTTACCTCTTATAAAATTTAAAGGTAAGATAATTTTTGAGGGCATCTCATCGGGTTTTTGTAATATATTTTAATTTTAAAGCGAGTTATGAGTATTTTAAAATTGTAAATTGTTTGTATACCTTTAAATACTCATACCTCACTTTAAAATTAAAATATAACAAAAACCCGATGAGATGCCCTCGAAAATTATCTTACCTCTAAATTTTATAAGAGGTAAATTCACTCTAATTTTTAAATTAACGGAGCTAAACATGATCTGCCGAGAGTGAAATTTGCTATGTTGTACGTGTGTAAGACAGAGACAAGTAGACAACATAATATGCGGGTGCGACGTCCTCTTAAAAGAGAACAATCAATTTTTGAGAATTTTGAATGATACGAGATTAGAGTGTTGAGAGCTACATGATTGAGCTAACACCGGGTCGTTGGTGGAAAAATAAGAGCACTGACAAAAATCGGTCAGCGGACAGATTATTCTCTATTGAGACACACAATAGACCAGGGTTATGTATTACATTGCTTATAATATTATATATAAAACGTTAGGTTTTGGCTTTCTACCATGTATCTACTAATATTCTGCCTACACTAAATAATATGTATAATACTATGTAGATACTAGATACTCTGACACTTTTTGATTACTAAAGCTAAGTGTACTAGTCATATTTTTAGGGTTGTGGATTCAATGGACATACATGATTACCCATTTTATTATACTTATCCAAATTCAGTGTAATATACTTTGTCATATAATAATATGTTTACCATATTTAACGGATTAATTTCATCTGGGTTTCCTGCCACGGCACATCCAGCAGCTTTCTTATCGTCTGTCTTGACGTGCATTGGACATTCCGGAGGTGGGTTCACGCCAGCGGTGTTGGTGAGGCCGTGTGGATTTTTAGGTACATCATTGTTGTTTGTTTCGTTCTGTGGAATGAACGCCTGCACCACAAGTTTTTGAGCTCCGGAAACAGTATTTCCCATTGCTACTCGTCAAAAAAAAATCTAAAAGACGTACCGTCAGAGTATTAAGTAGCCTGTAATATTAATATTATCACTCTAAACTCTAAAGCGTTTACTCACTCGTACTCAAAGATCGGTAAAACAATTTGATGTTGGTTAGGTTAGGGCAACTTTAGTTCTCGGTAGTTGGAAATTTGTAATTCACATCTTCTAATCGTGGGTTGCGGTCGGCGTCGTCATGAGCAAAAATATTAACAATTCAAATTGGCGTAATTTTCCTCGAACCTCGAAGAAAATTTTCTAACCTATATAATATCACTTGACAATTCTTCAGTCGAAGATATCAGCTCGCTCGTGCGTCTGATTGATAATCATCATGGAAAAGTGATTGATACATTATCTCGTAACAATAATCACTAACGTTTTGTTTATTATCGCACATCATATTATGCACTACCAATAATATAATACCTACCACTACTACAACAACAATAATACACAACTACTACAACTCAATACTCATTAGTTATTATAATATATAATTTTGCCGTCTATGGTCCATCTTTTTCTTTCTTTATTTCTTTTTTAAAATGTTGTCGATAAAATAATAATAATAACATGTCTCGTCGTTTGCGCAGTCTAGTCCGACGCTCCGATCCATCCGCCGGTCCATCGTAGTTGGACATTCTCGCTCTCGGGGAGATGAGAATAAGACTATAGCAATTATTATTATTATTATCATAGTTTTTTGTCAATCGTTTTTAACTCGTAAATCGTGTTAGGTGGCAGGTGTATAGACAAAAAAACAGCTTTGCCGTCGGAATTCTGTGACAAAAAATCAGTACTCTGACTGAACATCAATACCTATTTTAGGTGTTTTACATATAACTCATAATAATATATGAAAATGTCCATATCGTCAGACACGATAATTCACAAACTGTATAACCGTCAGGTAATTAGATATTTTTTTTATTATTATTATTCTGATATACCTAATATGAAACTCTCGTTATGGGTGGTGTTTAAAAATCTTAAATTGAACACACTTGCCACCTTAATAAGTTTGAATACTGTACGACTAGTACGAGCAATAATCGTCTTAAACACCTCGTTGGCGCCATATTTTGTATTAAAATTTATATTAGGTATACCCAAGCACTTATGTGAAATTAAAAGTGGTACCCTTAAGTTCTTTTAAAATCATCACTGGTTGAACCACTCTATCATTTATTCTTCTGATATTTTTTTACTACTTAACTATTACTATGTCAATGTTTAACTTTGAAATGTATCAAATTAATTTAATTGTTATCACTAGATGTGTTATTACATCTAATTATTGTTAATTTTCCAGCTATTTTATTATGAGTAACTATCATTTGAATTGAATTTATCTCTTAGTCTACGTGATGATTTATAACTATAATTAAGTATGTTAAAAATAGCTCACACTTCCATTTAAATAATACTATAAACTGCAACTACTTAATTACTTTAATTTATGTATTTATACCATAAATGTTGTTAATTATAATATTTTTTTCCTAATTTGTATGAAATATGTTTATTTGATCATTAAGAACTCCTAAATTTAATCAAATATTTATATCTATTGTTATTTTTCTGAATATTGTACGAATGGCTCTTCTATGTTCACATACACTTAGATGTGTTGGTTAATAGTGTACCTACAAAAAAGTAATATTTAATAACTTATATTATTCTACACTGTTTCTAGGTTCATGGTTCTTTTAAATACAAGCATAATCCTCAAAACAATACGAGATATTTATTTAAAGACAATCCAGATTATGGTAAATTTTTCTTGCCAGATATTATAGAAGACATTTCTGAGTTAGTAAATCAAATTTTATTTATTCCTTTAAAATATTATGTATTTTTTTTTATTGTATTTTTGTATATATTTTGTTCATTTAGTCATGTGTTTATGGGTTTAACTCGATGTGGCCGGTTTCTATTAACTTACACAATAGCAGACTCAGAGAATATAGTTGTTGTTGATAATTCTCTTATGCCTTCATTAAACATGAAGTATAAACTACATTTTTGGGCTTTTCGGCCAGGTCAATCAGCTTTTAGAGTTTCAGAAATTGCATTATTTGAAAATGCTGAGTTTAGTGATTTTTTAAATATTTATATTGTTCAATGGCCAAACCGGTCTGACAGAATCGTAGTTTTCGGTGAAAGGTAAATAATTCTATTGAAATAAATAATATTGTTATTAAGTATTCTTCTTTATTTCTATGTATAGTGTGACATCTGAAGATGATGATTGTGACATGCACAAAATTTACATTACAGTCACTACATTACCATCTTTAAATAACTGTAAAGATTGTCAATCAGTAGCCTATGAACATAGAGATGAAGGTACGTAAAGATTGCACATCACTATTTTTTTTAACATTTATTATATTACAACTGTAATTTGTGTATAGATCTTTCCAAGTATTACTTGGGAAACACGTGTCTTGTTCATGGCCTTACTGTACATACGTCATTCACAGTATCACATCCTTATCCTCGACTAGAGCCTTCTGTATCGTTGAAGTATGATGATCATATTGTGCTCAATACGTGTAATTTTATTCACGTTTTAAATATTGATTTAGATAAGAATCAAAATTCTAAATCTGATAAATCAGAAAACATCAATGTTCCATTAGCTCACAAGTATATATATACAAAATATAAATTAGTCACTTAACTTATATTAAACAATTCATTTTCATTTACAGGCTTAGTAATGATTTGACTGAATTTGGTTATAAACTGGCGACTAAAAGTGATAGTCAAGAAAGAGGTGTCAAAAGGAGACATATTGATACCAGATGTTTTGTATGTTAAAAATAAATACTAAATAATGAATATGATATATTTTATATATAATTTTAACGTTTTGTTTTTATTGATTGCAGTTTGATAAAGAACAAGATATGACCATGGCTGCTCTGAACCCCATGCCTAATTATAATAACCATCGTCTTTTAAGGATGAAAGATGCTGAAAAGGTAAACAAAATTGTGATTAATAATTTTTATTTTTAATTAGTAATGTGATGTTTTTATTGTTTACTTAATAGGTGTATGATTTTGATGAAAATGATGATAGTTGTTTGCTTAAGTTTAAATGGTTCAGGCGGAGAAGAATAGCAGATAAAATGTATGAATTTTGTTCCGAAGAAGAAGATATGGAAAATGTACATCCATCATCCAAAAAAAATCTCTTTCAACGCCGCGAATCACCTGGACCTTCGGCCGTTGATCAAACACCATTATACATACAAACAGACTACGAAGATGATATATTAAATGACTGTGATAGAAAAATGTTATTTGCTCAAGAATTAAATGCAATCATTGCAGACTGGGATTGTTTATCATCACCACGTTCAGTTACCTCTGAAGATAGAGACATTAAGAGTCCTGATAGTACCAACCGGAAGATTACCAATGTGCTCAAGCCAAGAAATAAAACTCCATTATTTAAAAATTCCAAAAGCCCCTGTGATAAGAAAATCAGTGTTATGATTGTTCCTGATAATATTCAAGGTAAACATATTTATAAATATTGTTTATAAGCTTTTTATATGAGATAAAAAAATGTCTATACTTTGTACAACTTAATATTATTGAATAGGAAATCAATCAAGTAGTTCATTCCGATCCGTACCATTACAAGGATGTTCAGTGAAATTTGAAAGGCAGTACATAGAAGTTGATGAAGAAATTGTCTCAGTCACTACAGATTTAGATGGTAGTTTCATTATGATTCATATTTTTTATGTTTATAAATTATAAATCTTTTTACTTTCATATTACAATCATGAATGATTACTTGTATAATTTGACAACCATTTAAAATTATATTAAAGATAAATTACACCAAAATAATAAGTTGAATTCCATAGTCTGAGTTTAATGCAATAATTTAGGTTGTGGATTATGAGTATAGGTCATGGGTATATAGGAACTCACTCTTTATCAAAGCATGAATAAATATTCACTAATAGTCACTAATAATTGTTATAAAAATGTATCACATTATTACATTAATTTTTAGATTGTAATGACTTATAATTTATAATATTAAATGGCTTTTTTTCTGCAGAAGAAGATGGTATAACAGGGTCTTTATGCGCACTTCCATTGTCTGTACATGGGTCTGCGTCTGCTCAAATGCAAATGATCAATACTGCCAAAATTGGAAAACAGGTATCTTTCCTAACCTAATAAAATATATCATTAGTGTTTATAATAGTGTAAATACTAATTAATTATAACATTTTAGTAAACATATGAAGTAAGTAGTAGAAGTTTAGTATTTTACATTTGTTTGAAATAGTTTGAATTACTTATCTTGCAATGTTTCTTTGTGCAGTTATCATGATGTTTGCATAAAGTTATAAATAAAAATGCTGTCATTTTTTAATATCTTTGAGTAGTTGTACAATAAAATGTACGTTACAATGTGTTTATAATAATTCAAACTACATTCCATTGTCTATTTGTTAGATCTCATTAGCTTATATATATCATATTTTATGTGCATTTACTAATCTAATAATTTTTTTTTTTAGGAAAAAAATGTTTGCGTTATAAAACAGGCGAGTTTAGATTTTGAACATGTTAGTTATAAAGTGGCTGAGATTATTTGCAATCTAGAAGGTCACAAATTTTGGTGCTATAACGACTATGACTCTGCTATTGTTGATGTAAATATGCGTTTATTACGTTCAGTTTGCAATTTAATAATTTTTTTTTAACTAAAATATTTTTAATGTGTTTTAACAGATTTGTCCGTTAAATGGTGACATTTTAATTGTATTGTGTATAAGACTGAACACAGAAGAGGATAAGAGACCTACACCTCTTTGTCAACCAGCGAATAGCAGGTAATTTGTGTTAGGTGCTTAGTACTTATTATTATTTAGGTGCCTAAAATGTATATACAATTTATTTAAATATATTGTTAATGTCCACTTAGGGGTTTTGAGACAAAGTGCGTGATTCTGTGGAACCCTGAGACTGATACTTGTTACCTGGAGGCTTACTTGCAACTGGAAGTAGTCACGGAGGATCCTAGTCAAACGAGTTGGAATCCAGCTCGTTTTGAAGCTAATATACTGCGAAAGGCGTCCATGGGTTTCTTCAACGTTCCTATGGCCCGTCAAGTGAGATGTTTATCACATGAAGTCTGGTCTAAACAAGTTGGTAATCTGAGTGAGTATTTTTGCAATGTTATAAATAATTTACCTTACACCTCAGGTAACATTAAGTAATGTAACAATTTTACTTATAATTTTCTAGATCCACCTTTACTTGAAATAAGAGATGAAGATAATATGATCACTATCCTAAGAAACCGAATGGATGCAGTAGATGAAAACAATGTAATGGTGTTCCTCCGTCATAGACTGCCAATTTAATTGAAAGAGCAGTAGGAGTTAATCTTAAGGTATATTAAGTTTCATTAGACTATCTAAATTATTATTATTGAAAAATAAATGTGTGATAGCTATATTTTATTTTTCAACTATTTACTGCAATGAATTTAATTTGTAAGTTTTATATCTCATCATATGTATAATGATAATATACTTTACCTGTTTAATTTGTATTAAGGAATTAGTCCCTTGAGCTCATTTATTTCTCGTTATTCTCTTAAATGTTCACAACAATTTAAAAATAATAATCAAATCTTCTTTTGGAAAAGTTTAAGATATCTTTTAAGAAATGAATATACTATTGTTTTAAATAATAATGTTCAATGTAAATTTTGAGTTAATAGTAATTACTGTATTTGTTCACATTGGAAATTATTTAACTTTATGATTCTGTCAAAATGAACTTAACTTAGCTTTATTTATATTTTTCTGTGAAATAATCTCCCTCGTAGAAATCAATATAAATATAGTTATAATAAACAATTGACTTTAAAAATTGTTCATATTTGTTTTTAGTCAATTTCTATGATGTGTATTGTAGATATTTAAAGTACAAAAATAATATTAAAATAATATATTATAATTTATATTGTTATTATTTTCCATCTCCCATTCAGCTCTAAAGTTAATTAAGAGTTTAGTATAGTGAAATTGAATAAAATTATTTATGTTTAAATATAAGTATTATTATTTATTATCAGCTATCACTATTTCACGTAGCATGTCAAAATAATCAAAATGTATGTAGTTTTATATTAAATTATCATGTATTATATTCATTTAATATTAAAATTATGCATAAATTAAAATTAAAATTATAATGTTTCTATAATCTACATTATAATTTAATGTAGATAACAATATAAGTTACATCCACTGATTATTCAAAAAATATAATATTATAGTAATTTTAACATTCTTATTTTACACTGCAATAATAAAATAAATGTCTTACTTAATATTAGAATAACCTGTGAATGATAATGTTTATGTGTAAAAAGTATGATTTGTAAGACGTTTGACAAAAATTTGTTACTTCATGAGATAAATATACGTATAAAATGTCTGAGGAATATGAAAATGTAGATTGCATATTTACCACATACGTGTTTAGTTTATTTAATAGGCTTATTACTCTTTAAAACTAATGTACAAACACGTTACTATTTTATTGTACCTTACAGTAATATTATACTTTATCTAATATTATGCAATACCGCTATGATGCCGTGAGATTAGACTACTAACAGTGGTGGCAGGTTAAAGGAAAAAAAAATATTTTTAAGAAACGGTTATTGCATTATATATATACATTCAGAATCACATTTACTTATACCATTAATATAATGTTAATTCTAATTACCTCAATATTTTGTCTTTTTAACGTATATTTTTTTATGTGTATTTTTAAATTATATTTGCCTAAATGTACATATTAAGTAGTGTTGTATTATTTTAATTCTAACCACTGTATTAGTAAAGTAATTTAAATGTATTATGTGTTGTGTGCTGCTCCCGTGGGCACAATCATGTGTTTGAAAATGTACCCCGTAGAGTCAATTTAACTCGATACTTGGAATGTTTAACATATTGATGTAAAGTACTTACTAGATAAAGTATTTCAGTTTGTAAAGATAACTATGCCTCCGTTTGATATTTAGAAGGTGCTGAATTGTTTTTGAGTAGAAACAATTTTTATTTATTTTTGTGAAGTGATTTTTTTTTTTTATTATTACTTACCTATTTTATCTGATGAGAATGTTCAATTATTGTAAGTTCCTTTTTATGGATTGTTTATTTTTTATGATAATAGTCCGGAAATATTTATCTTTATTGCCTATTAATAAAAATAATATTAAATGTTACTATGAAATTTGAAAATAATATAATATACTGAAATATGCATATTAATTATATTTATACTTTATTTTGTTGTTTATTTGATGGTAAAAAAAAATATATATCTAAAACAAATAAATTATTTATTTTTGTCTTACAAGCTACGATAAAAAATGATTGAATAATGACACTTAAAAATTGTAAATAATAAAAATCGTCTAAACTGTACAAATTTGGTTTATGAGCCAATAGTCTCTTATTCCTATACGCTAATGTTTGGATGCATTAGGATTTGTTAAAAATAATAACAATTATATTTATATCTATTTACACAATACATACAAAATCATTGCGTACATAATTATATGACACTAAATTTCTATATTAAGTTATAAATAATTAGGTTCGTATTGTCTTGAGGAAAAGTCGGGTGTAGACCAATAGTCATTCCTGGAGTTTGAACGTTTCGAATAGACAACGCACTCCGTTTGGTTTTGATTTCTCGACCGCGGACCACGCTCGCCCGACTAGTACGAATTATTGTAGTATAATATTATATATATATATATTTTTTTTTTCTTTTGAGCAACTAATTATTATTCGTAGTCTATTCACTGGCATTCGCTTTCGGTATCGCTTTTATCTGTAAACACGAAAAATAAAAGACACGGGTCAAACGAAATTCACAATTATTGTTATTGAATCCTAACTCCATAACACCGCCTAACTCAAATTGAGTGTACTCTGGAGTGGCTCCTGCGACTTGATTGGAGGTGAAGTCATAATTTTTAAAAAATGTCTGTAGCTTAATATTTTTAACAATATAAATTTTTTTTAGAAATACCGTCTTAGGTGGTAGCACTGGGGAATATACCCACCCCCCTTCTCCGAGGTGGCAGGGTATACTGTAAATTGTTTCTTCTCTTTAGGTACAACAACGTGTGCACCTCAAGTCCTCAACAGCTCAAAAACTGTGTAAGGTACAACAGTAACGAAAGAAACCGAGGCAAAATAAATTTTAAGTTTGTAATAACTATTATATAAATTGTATAAACACATCAAGGATTCTATAGAATGTCATAACTTGAGAAAACAAATATTTTATAACGAATTTCAATAATAAACTTAGGGTGGCATTGATAAAGATAGGCTTTTAAATATCGTATGAGATGCATATAACATAAACGGTAATACATCACACTATTCACCTTTCTTGCCATTGTAAGCGTGCCTCTTGAGTCTGTCGTATAAGTCTTCTTTGTTACCGTAAATGCTGGCATTCGACCTGGCCAAGCTGTTCATCTTACCGTTGTGCAGACCCTCTGTGAACACACAAACCATTAATCTAACCGTTGAAATTTCGTATAACATGCCGGTGAGGCTGGTGAGAGGGCTTCTAGTTATTCGCGCATCCAAATGATCAGTGGCGTATTTGGAGGGCATTAGGGGAATTCCACCCCCCCTCCTCCCGAGGCTTTTATTTTTTTTTACTGTTTTGCGGAAACTGTGATTATAAGATAAATTTCATTATAAATTCTAATTTCAACTTAGGTTAAAAATTTGGTGCCCAGAAGCGCTCTCTCACCGGCACAAGTATACGTTCCTATACCGTAGTTTAAGATCGTAATACAAACAAAACCATAGATAATTTAGAAATTTTTTTTCGCCGTAAATCCTTACCTTTCATGTACGTCTCGTTGTAGAAGTTGGGCATCTCCCAGCCATCCTCCTCGTCGTCGTAGTAGTGCGCGTACGTGGAGTGGTGAGACGGCGCTATGGACTCGGCGTACGGTGCGGCGCCATAGTAGAAGTTGACCTGGGACCCGGTCTGGTCGTTGGTCTGGGCCATCAGCTTCTTGGGCTCTTTGACGCGCTCCGACCGAGCGCAGATCATCCACACGAACAGCGCGATGACGATGAGGAACACGACGGTGGCCGCAATGCCACCGGCGATGTAAGCAAAGTCGGACTTGTCCTCGCAATGTGGTCCGATGAACGACCCGACGCAACGGCACGACGGTTGACCGCGCAGGTCTTTGACGCACGTGCCCTTATTCTCTCAGTAACCGTCGCATACGTCTTTGCACACCTTTCCGGTTCCGTTGAACCCTGGACGGCATTCGCACTTGAAGTCGGACGTTTCCGGTATCAGTAGACAGTCAGCGTTGGCGTCGCAGTGCTTGCCCGCTACGTTCGCCTCGCACGGGTTCCAGCACTCGGACTTGCTCGTCTGCGACAAACATCGTAGGGATTATTATTTACCCTAACAGAGCCTGACAGAAACAACACTTGCGGCGATGGCCGTTTTCGTTTTGAATTCAGTATAATATACTTACGGCAGCCACGGTCTTGGTGCTCATGTTCGGTGGACACGGCAAACAGTTGGTCTGCTGCGTGGCCGGTTGATAAGTGCCCTTCTTGCACGAGATGCAATTGTTCTGAGTCGCGTTCAAGTATGTGCCTGAAAAAATGTTATAACTCGCGGTCAGATGGTGTTCATATATCATGCTGATGTAATATGAATATTCAGTAGGTGACATTTTATTACCTGGAACGCAGACTGGCAACGAGCATTCCTCAATGCTGGAAGCACCCGATTGCTTGGTGGTCCTACCAGCGGGACATTGTTGACATGCCGGTTCGACGCCTTGAGTTCGATAAGTTCCCCTAGGACACGGTTCGCATTCCCCTTCGATGCCCAAATGCATGCCATCGGCACATTCGTCTCGGCATTCCTGCAACAAAACGGCAATCAGACAACGTGACAAAACGTGTGTGTTATATAGGTATCATAATATTGTGGTCGTGTGACTAACCTCTCGGGACACTGCCTCTGTGGTGCGCGTAGTCTTGCCCAGGCCGCACAGAAGGCATTTGAAACTGCCTTCCGACGGCTGGTAAAAACCGTAACCTCAACTCCTGCACAGACCAGCCTCGTCGTCATAGTACTTGCCTGCCGGACACCTTTCTTTACAATGAGATGCCGACCTAGCACCCGTCGACACGGTCACACCTTGCCTTCCTGCGATCGCTGGGCACACTGAACACTGTAACTGACCGGATTCGCTTTGGTACGAACCCACGGCACACGGTACGCATTTTTTCGTGTCCTTTTCGAAGTAACTTCCAACGGAACACGGAACTATAAAACGAAACACACACGAAAAGGTTGTAATACATAATTTAATCAATAACAACAACAGTATATAATGTGAGTGGCGGTGTCTTACCGCAGTCTGGAGCCATGACCACTTCACCAGTGGGACAAGCATAATCGGATTCCAAGTTCAGAGAAGCTGGATCCGGGACAGTGTTCGGTAGTATGTCGTGAACGTCAAATTGATCTTCTTCTAATATGAGCTTCTCCAATAACCTCTGAATGTTTGCTCTTTGGTTCGAGTTACTGTTGACCACGGGATCACTGCAAATAACAAAGTGTTAGTCCTCAAACTTAAGATATTCATCATATACACCACCGGACCACCGGTTAGACCAATGAATACTACTAACTTGATAGCTGGGAAAGAAATTTGTACTGAGTATGTGTCACTGGCTTGCCTCTTCTCTCTAAATGTTTAACACAATCCTCTTTTAGTTTACAAGTAATTGATTTGAACAAATTTTACTAACAATTATATGTATATTGAAACTTTTAATATAAACAGCATTAAAATTTACCTTATTGCGACAGCAGAATCATTTTCATCGCTTTCTACATCTCGAGTTGGCCTAGAAGACCGATGATCACATTTGACGTCAATATTCAAATCTTTGCACTCGCGTGTTCCTTTAATAGAATATGAACAGAGATTCCATTCTCTATTCAACGTATTTATTGCATTTCGGACTTTTTGTCTCAGCACTCCTTGTCCCGCTTCGTTACATAGCACTGACGTAGGGAATTTCATGTCGACCTTGAACACTCGTTGAGCTGGTTTAGATGCTGAGCATGCAGGATAGATTGTCGGGTAAGCCGGATCTATGGTGGGTCTCCAGAAACCTTCAGCACCACACGTGTAGAATTTCGGAACTTCTTGTGAGAACCTTAATCCCGGATTACAACTGATTTCACACACTTTGAACTGTCCACCGGAACCCCAGTCTTTGCATTGTTGCTTTCCGCCAATCGGATCTGCCAAGGTTGGACAAAATTCAGCTGAAACCAAACAAAATACATACAACGTTATTTGTGTGTCAAAGCTTTTTAGAAAACGCTAATTAAAACTTACACAGGACGTACACTCTGAAAGAGCACACTGCAGCGTTACCGACTTCATCAAATGCCACATATGCTATACGGTAAGTTCCCCATAGAAGTGTTTGGCCGGGTTTATGACCGTTCTTTTCCTCAACTCTTACAACTCCAACGTTATCAGTAAATCTCGGTTCATCCCAATTGACAACCGCCGATCCATTTTTGGCAATTACCCAGAGATCACCTGGACAATATTCAACTTGAGGTGGTTTTTTATCGACTTGAAGCTGTTCGCAGTTTGGTCCAGTGTATCCAGCTGGGCAAGAATGTTGACTGCATTTCGAAGGAACGATTCTTTCAACGCCTCCTTGGATATCGTCAAAACCTGCCCACGTGAGAACTAATCCTTGGTAGAGTACTGGCTCGGTTCTACAATCACGTACTTGTTTCTGCACTTCATTAGTGACATCAAGAGCCCGTCCCCAAATTTGTACTTTGTTCAGTTGACCCTTAAAACCAGCCTCTGTAAATGTCTTTCTGTCCATCCTTGGTTTTCCTAACACAGCCCAACCACTGTAACGGAAAAAAGATTTATAAAATATGTTTATCAAAAATTAATATACAATTTAACTCACAATTCTGGTAACTTCCTTCCCGTTCCGTAACCTTCCATTTTACTTGCGATTAATCCTTCGGTGATCAAAGTTAGCGTACCTTGATTCCACACAATAGCAATGTGATGCCACTGTCCATCGTTAATAGTAGTGTATTCGTGGAAAGCCAAAAATACATCTTGAAGTTCTGGGAAAATTGATACCTCAACACCACTAGAGTGAGCTTGTATAAGTACTCGTTGACCCTGTACTACATGAGGAGACCTAAAAACAATTTCAAATTAATTATATTAATCATAAATATATATTATTAATTATTTTTAATTAAACTAACGTGACACTGTAGAGCGTGAAGAATATTCCTGGTTCGTCTTTTTGTGCATATTGAACCCACATTGCAATAGTGAAACTATCTCTAGCTCCCGTGAATTGGAATGGAACTGTTAAAGCTGCACTACTTAATGTCTCTTCCGGGAAACTAAAATCGTAATCAACTTGGATAGCTAAAATACAAATTTAACAATTAAAATCGGTTTTGAACATTTCTAAGCTCTATTGTAATTTACTTTTTCTACAATCATCTCCCGTCAAATTAAATGGACACTGGCAATAGAACTTATTGGTAAGGTCGATACAAGTAGCTGTTGGTGGACATGAGTTTTCTTTGCAGTCAACTATATCTTCATCACAATTTTTGCCCATAAATCCAGGTGGACAGATGCACTTGTACCCTGGCCCGTTATCAATACATGTCGCTCCATTTTTACATGTGTTAGCTTGACAAGCATCAAACTCATATTGGCAACCGATTCCATCGTAATCACTTGGACACGTGCAATTCAATCCAGATCCAAAATCTTGACATCTACCACCGTGCATACAAGGATTGCCAATACAACGTTCTGGTGCTGTCTCACATTGCTTTCCGTCAGTTCCCGATGGACATCTAAAAAACACGGTAAGATATGAAACAACCCAGTCGTATAATTTTTATTTATTTATCATTTTTACACTGAAATACGTATACTTACACGCAGAAATAGTCTTGGAACAAGTTAATACACGTCGCGTCGTTGTAACATGGTTTACTCTGGCACGAGCTTATATCGATTTCGCATCGTTTTCCGGTCCAGCCAGGTGGACATTGGCAAGAGAACGTGTTGACACCATCGTAACATTTACCGTTGTTCATGCACGGTGAAGAAGCGCAATCATCAATATTCTTTTCACACATATTCCCAGCGTATCCAGGGTGGCATACACACTTGTAATTATTGTCCAAATCTAAACATTGTTCAGTACCTTCGGGACTGCAGGGATCACTTAGACATTCGTCAATTCCAGCTTCACACTGAAGACCTAAGTAACCAGGTCTACAGCGACACATAAATCCGTCTAACATGTCAACACACGATCCTCCATTTTGGCATGGCCCCGAAGCACAATCATCAATCAAATGTTGACACCTTTTACCGGTATAACCAACATCACAAGTACAAGAATAACCATTCACCATATCGGTACATTCTCCATCGTTTCCACACGGGTTACTTGCACAATCATCAATGTTGATTTCACAAGCAGCACCAGTCCATCCCGGATGACACACACATTGGTGACTGAACAATCTATCAACGCACACACCATTCTGACATGGGTTAGCCGCGCATATTTCAATTTTTGTTTCACAACGTTTTCCAGTAAATCCTGGTGGACACGCGCACTTGAAATCATTAATGAGATCTGTACAAGCAGCTCCTAAAAGGCATGGTCGTTCAGCGCAGTCATCGATGTTTACATCACAATGTTCACCTTCCCAACCGGGCTTACATTCACATTTGTATCTTCCTTGTTTCAATGCTGTGCAAGTAGCCGAGTTCTTACATGGGTTTATTGTTTCCATGCATGGGTCAATCTATAAATAATTAACAATATAGTATTATTAAGTTTTATTAAGTGATACCATTTTTTTTTATAACTAACCGTCATGTCACAATTTTGTCCTGTGTAACCACTGCGACAAAGACAAGTGAAGTTGCTTAATCCTGGTTCGTCTTTGCACATTGCTCTCTCGGGACATGTATCGTTCCTACAGTCGGATTTCTCTTCTTGACAGTTTATTCCACTAAATCCATTTTTGCATTGGCAACGGTAACCTTGAGGAAGGTCTATACATGAACCCCCGTTGAAACATGGCTGAGAAGCACATTCATCTATGTCGATTTCACAACGTTTTCCTGAGAATCCAGCTGGACAGAAACATTGTATTCCATGACCAAGAGGTACACAAAGTCCACCGTGTAAACATGAGCTCTCAGTGCATACGATAGATTGGCATTCATCTCGTCCTGCAGCTCCAGGGCCTTTGGTTTTGGTATTCGTAGGACATCCCAAACACACAGTCTGTCCACTTCCCGCTTGATAGTGGTTTGGAGGACATGGCGAGCAGGGCGCTAAACCAGTTTCTGAATACTGGCCGGGAGGACATTTAGCTGCAACGTTAAATGTATATTATCATGTGTACATGAATTATGACAAAAAATTAATACCTCTGCAAAAATCTTTGTTTGGAGCAGAAGGTTGATATGTAAACATGTTAGCTGGACATGATACACATTCTTTGAAACCAGATGTTGGTGGTTCTGATGTATAACTATTTCTAGAGCATTCGAGACAAGGAACGAGACCTGTCGGTGAATAAGTTCCATATCCACATACCGGAATACAGTCTTTCAAACTTTTTGATCCCAATTCCCTAGTGTATGTTCCATTAGGACATTTCATACAAGCACCTTGTCTAGCTGTATCTTGGTAATAGCCACGAGCGCATGGCATACACGATGATTGTTTAATTCCAGCGTAAGTTCCAGCCGGGCAATGCACTAAAATCACATAAGTGGGATTAGCTCGATACACATCTTAATATAATAAATAATTATTTCTCACAGCATCGAGGCACTTGATTAGTGTCCATGTTAAGTACTTCGCCAATATTACAAGTGAAGCCTTTAGATACAGATGATCTGAGAGCCTTCAAAGGAGGACATTGATTAGCTACTGCTGATATATTCAACAGTGGTTCTATAGCAGCACTAGCATATGAAACACTAAGATCGAAAACTAAATTCAAAGTTGACCCACAGAAATCGTATAATTGAGGCTGTCTAACTTCTGGCAAAACTCCTAATACAAAATCAATCTAAAAACAAAACAAATATATTATACATTTATTATTTTTATTTGTACACAAACAATTTACTTATTTTATACCAATTAATACATTGATTAGATTAACTAATATACCTGTACTAAGTTTTCATCTAATAGTTGTGGTTTAGTATCAATGAATGATACATTCATGTTGACTTTAACAGCTGAACATCTTTCTGTCAAAATATCATTGAGAGGTCCATAATGTTGGCTTAAAATATCAGCGTATTGTCTTAAACATAATGATGGGACTGCTCCATTAGCACGATAAGTTATAGATGGTACTACATGGTAATCAGCTTGATGTGTGTCTTCAGATACACAATCTGGTACAACTGAAGATGGTGACCATAGACTTCTTTGTTCACAAGTAAATGATTTTGTTGGTTGGCCGTCGGTAAATCTAAATCCAGCTTTACAAGTAGCTATACACTCCAAACCACTGTCATCAGATGGAAGACAATTCAATGCTCCATTTGATGGTGGTTTAAGATCCCAATCGACACAAGGAGTTGCTTGCACAGAAACCTACAATACATATATTATAATGGTAAATAAGAGGTTTTTTTATAAGATAGAAAGAAAAAATTGTATAAATTTGTTTTTTTTTTTAAATTTATTTTTATTGGAAATATTACCTGGAAATAACAAGTAGCCTTGTTTCCAAATTTATCAGCCGCTGTAACTGTTACATTTTCAAAGTCTCCAATAGCAATCGAAGCTCGGTCTGGATTAAATGTAAGCGTGACTTCACCAGAAGCATCTGATACATTAATTCGTCTACGAGTCTCATTAAAGTTAACTACATAATTGTCTTGTTTGTTCACTAATTCAATGACATAACTCTGTGGACAGCTCAATTGTGGTGGTGTTTCATCTAAGAATAAGTATAAGATGTTAAAAATATATTAATTGTATATTGGTAATATTTATTTTGTTGTACCTGTAACTGTGATGTTTATTTCACAGATGGCTACATTTCCATCAAAATCAAATGCAACATATTTTACTGCTGTATCTTGGAATGTATAGAATGGTAATTTAAAACTTTGCGGTTTTACTTCGAGTCTTGCAATGCTACCACTGTTGTCAACAGGCACTGGTTCTGTCATATTGACTGGTTCTATTCCATTAGGTCCCCGACGTACTATGATCGGTTGTGTTGGACAATTTTGGAATACTGGAGGTTCGTTATCTAAAATATATTTCATTTTATTATTTTTTCTTTTAATTTAAATAATATGTGTTGTATATAAAATGTTTATACAACTTACCAACACATGGTGAATGACCATAATCAAAACCTAATAAAGGTTCAACTTTTGGTTCTTCACAACCCATCAATTCAAATTTCAAACAAGCATTATCCATATAGCTAACAATTCCTGAAATTTTAGATAGAATTCATATTTTTAATGTATTTACATTTGATACCGATTCAATTATTAATTTGTAATAATATACATATTATTAAACGTACCTAAAATTACAAATCGTGCTTGCACATATTTTGGTAAAGTAATCATAGCCAGTTCACCAAAGTTTCCAGGATCTCTCATTGTTAAATTGAAATTTGGGAAGTATACAACGAAATTTTCTTTTTCTTCTTGTTTGTAAAAGAAGCGAATTTCGGTTGGACGTCCTACGATATCATTAGTAACTACTCCTTTCACAAGGATGGCCTAAAATAACGTTTTTTATATTAATGTCTATAATTATTTATTGATGAACTTAATATATATATACCTTGACTCTGTATACTTGTCCCAAGTCTACGCTAACATATGTAAATGCTTCTTGCTTACCGCACCAACCAGTAACTGAATTCAAACGAATGTTACGAGCTTCATAATTTGGCCTAAAAACACATTTTTATTAGCTTTTACTAAAAAAAAAATTAAAAGATATTTTTACCTTTCTGATGTTGCATTAATAGCTGAATCTGGAATTCTACCAGAAGTCAAACCTAATGGTTTGATAACCTTACATTCGGGCTCACGAATACATGTAATAGGCCTTGGATTAATCAATATGTAACCTGGTTTATTACAACCAAATTGTACTTCAGAGCCTTGTTCATAGCTTGTGGCTACTTGATAGCCATCTGTAGGTCTTCCAGGGTCTTGACACACGGGCCCTTCACATCTTAAATCTCCGAAATCCCAAACACCATTTGCTTGACAACGCACTACATTATCGTTCTTATCGGTCTGCCCAGCAAGTTTAAATGTATCTTGACAACCAAAGAAGAAAGATGATTGATATCTCGTGTCTTTGAAATTTCCATACTCAGCCCCAGCTGTCGGCATTGGAACACCACAATCTACTCTTGGACATGACGGAGTTGCTCCAGATAGCCAGTACTCAGGGAAACCCTTTAAACATTTTAAAATAAAATAAAACTGAGTTATAATAAAATAACAAATTTAGACTCACTGGTTTTGGATCATAAACACATTGCCTAAAGCCAGATGTTGCAGTTCCTCGAAGGGTTCGTCCTGGGTTTTCACATTTTAATGTAACATTTTCTTTGAATGGCACGAGTACTGCATCTTTTTCAAAACGACTTACTTTAAGACCTTCAACCTTATCGTCGGGAAGGGATACACATTTTGCAACTGTAAAAATTGATATGCATTTTATACACAGTTATATTTTGTAGATAAAATATAAATTTTAATTTTAAATTACATTGACATTGAGGTACTGTTCCGTTCCATGATCCAGTGGATGTACATAAAAGAGATGCTGATCCAGCCATCACGTATCCAAATTTACACTGGAAATTCACTAAATCTCCAAAATGATAGGATTCTTTTGTGGAAAGAACCACACCATTTTCGGGTGCTTGTAAATTGGGACACATAACTGGAACACAAGTCTTATTTCTTTGGTATACGTCTCCATCTCTTTCTCCAGATTCAAATTCATTTATTACAAATCCGGCAGTTCCATTCTTTACGTACAATTCGTATCCAATATTACAGGAACATGCATAGCTTCCAGGACTGTTAATGCATTTTTGCTGGCATCCGCCATTGTTAACTGAACATTCGTTTATGTCAACACAATCTAATCTAGTACAACCAACTAACTCAAGTTTCAAACAAGGGGCAACGACGTAGTCTTGTATTTTCAGTTTAATATATTGAGCCTCAATGGGCATCGGGAAATTGAGCACGGACAGACTAGGTTCTAAAATTCTGAATTCCACTGGTGTGCCATCGGGATTAGTGTAATCCTTGTACACATCCGTCAAATTATTTGAATATTGAATTCTTATAGCAGAGGAAAATGCAACTTTGTTAGATCCTCTCATTACACCTTGTGATCTAAAACCCCTTATTACTGTTGGTGCTTTTAAATCAATCATAACCCAGTTATCACCAGGTTCAACATTCGTGCCGCACCATCCACGCATCGTATTTAATCTCATCATCTAGACACATATGAAGAATTTTTTTATAAATGTACACATATTTTAACGAAAAAAATATAAGATCTACCTCTTTGGTAAATGAAGGTTCAGATCCAGATACAGTGATAGAATCGTCTGAAATTCCTCCACTAATCAAGCCAAGATCTCCAACGGGTCTGCATTCCATAGTGGGTGCGAAACCAGTCTTGCAACGACAGTGAAAACCACCTAAGTTATTGACGCATTCTGTCGATGACAAATCACATTGACTAGCGGCACACTCATTTACATCTAATTAACAAAATGTAATGTATAGAATTAATACAATAATAATAATGCATGACTCGTTTGAAAATGAAAAAAAAATGAAAAATTTACCTTCACATTTTGGTACATTAGAAAAGGTTTGGTTAGCTCCACATTTTATTATCGATGATCCTCCAGTAAGTTTGAATCCCCGATGACATTGTACACGAGCTTCATCTCCATACAAGTATTTACGAGTTTGATCAATAACGAATCCATTATGGATTTCAGGCAGTACAAGACACTCGGCACCTACAACGTTATACAATCAAACTTTAAAATCTCTGTCATTGTTGCAAGTATATTAAAGCTTACGAGAACAGACTGGAACTCCACTAGACCACGTTCCATTACTCATACAAAGTACTACAGGGTGTCCTGACCGAACATATCCTGACTCACACTGGAAGCGCACTATGGTTCCATAACTTCGTCCGCCACCATTTAAAACCGTAAAATTGGCATGTGGTGTTTCCGGAAGTGGTGGACATTGAGAAGCTTAACATTTTTTAAAACAACCGATTAAAAAATAATTCACATGTACAAAATTAATATTTGTGCACTTACCTAGACATGTTGGTAATCTTTCCCATCGACCATCTGCAAGACACGATACTTTTTCGATTGGCTCGTTGGTTGGGAAGGCAAATCCTGCATAACACTGATACATTGCTTGACCTCGGTAAGTAACATTAGTTGAACCAGTTGAAAATCCATTATCGATTTGTGGAACGGGACCGCAATACACCTCTATATTATAAAAAAAATAATTTAGTAAGTATAAACCTTTTATTTGATAATATTTAACTTACCTTGGCATTTTGGGATGTAGGAAACTGACCAGTTACCACTAATTAAACATTCAGTCGTAATTTTTGATTTTCCTGTTGCAAACTCTTGTCCTACCGGACACGAGAATGTAACAGTTGTTCCAAAAGCAGTATCTCTGTTTGATTCTAATGCTCCTTCGCCAGGTTTCAATGTAGGGCAATCTAAAAATATAAGTTAAATAAAAAATGTTGTACTTAAAAAATTTAAAATTAAATCTTACCAGCTGAGAAAGTTGCATGCCATCCTTTTTGATTGTGTAATGCGTCTGTTACAAATCGTACTAGCATCTCTCCGCTGGCCGCTGTAAGTGTAATCTTAGGAGGAGTACTTCCAGTAAACCCATTATTTGGATGAAGTCTTAGTCCACTAGTACTTGCTCCATCATACACTTGTACGTAATCAGATTGATGTAAGACAAAAGAATCGAATTTCAGTGATAATGGACTCATAGTTGGATTCTTGATTTTAATGAGACATTCTAAATTGCTTGGGTAATTGGATAAACCAAAAGTAGGTGAAGCAATTGTTCCATTAGCAGCGGTTATAGTGGCTTTACAACCTTGCGAGTACTTAATTTTGAACCCTTTTTTGCTGTCGCCTAAACTTGTTTTGAAATATAAATACATTTGGTTTCCGGTAGACATTAATAACCTAGGATTGTTTTCCAACGTTCCTGTTAAACGTCCAATTGGTTGACTCTTTGGCGAATCTCCATCTCGAATCAATACAAAGTCTCTGTTTTGTTGTAATTCTAAATCTTCAATCTAAAATTTGATATTATTTATAAATTAAAATTCAAAACTATCTTAGTAAAATATAAAATAATACCTCGAGAGTAATGATTCTCCCAGCTTGAGCGGTAATTGTGTACAAACATTCCAAACCACCAGGATAATTATTAGGAAATCCGGGTGAAGTCAAAGGTTGTGGTTGTGTTGTTGCTCTTAAATTACCACCACATACTTGAGGTTCTGTTTTCCACGAAGCCCTTTAAAATAAAATTTGATACATTATATTTTTGTATACATTTAATTTTATAAAATTGCTATGTTTACCTGAAGCCTTTACGTTCTACTGAAGCATCTGAGCTAAATTTGACAATCATGAAATTAGAAGCCGACACAAACATTTTGTTACTCAAGTCCATTTTTCCAGAAAGGGTAGCTAAATTAACCGCCTTGTCTTCGGTACGGCCACCAACGAGAATTTGTACAGTATCAAATGACTTCTCTGTTTCAAATTCTTGGAACTAATAGTAAAAATATATTAGAAAATATGTATATAAATTTATAGTTCTTATACAATTTTTTTCAAACCTGTAATAATATATTGTGTCCTTGTGGGCCTTCCAATGTCCATTTACAATTAGACAGAGCTTCATATTTGTGTGGATAATTGGGAGATTCAACTACGTCACCGCTGTTGGCCATATAATAGTGGCAGTTTGAAGAGCAATCCAGTTCATCTGACCAGTCACCACAATCATTCTGCTTGTCACATTTGAATGCTGAATTGATGCAACGCCCATTTGAGCAGTGAAACGAGCCTAAAAACAAATTGCAGTTGCGTGAAATTAAAACTACGTTAAAATTAAAGTGTCCAGAAATCTAACCTGTTGGACAAGCATTAGCTCTGCACAAAAATGGCAATAGAGATTCGCACGTTTGCAACTCCCACGACTGTTGTTCATCAGTCACAGTCACGTCAACGCATTCTCCAGCTGATGGATCGGGTTGAGACAATGACCAAAATCCTAAAACGGTATTAAAAATTTAAAAAAATCATTAATGTAATTCAACTAGTATTGTTTGATTTCTGAAATTTACCGGAATATTGTGACACTAAAACTCCACCAGCGTATTCTAAAGTATTCGTTCGAAGATCGTCTAACGAAGCCAATCCCAACCAATATTTCTGGTTGTTTCTATCTACTGGCCCCAGACTTCTCCTCGCCAATGACGCAGTGTAGTTATTTTCCGTGTATGACTCAATTAATACCAAGTCACTGCCATACCTATACAACATGATACACATTTGTATGGCATTAATGAATTATCCAAACGTAACATTATAGTTTAATCAAAATTACCTGTTGCACAGTTGGGCTGCGTTTTCCCATGAATGCTTTATGCTGAAAAACTTGTAACAATGTAGTCCTTTGAGCTCCCATCCTATAACAAATCAATATAAATTGTTAGTAATATGTGGATTGAAATTTTAGTAAATATAGGTAATGATTGCACGAATAAACTTCTATAGACGAATAACGTAACATTTCATCAGATACATTTTAAAAACAGCCGAGCAACTATATCGTGGTAAATATAATGAATATATTGTAATTCTATTCACTGCTATGTAAAATATACGAATGCCATAGACCGCCGTGTATTGCGATATTAACCTCTTTAATAAAATTCTATCTGCAGCACCTATATTATATCGGTTCCAAAACCATTGAGACGTGAGATAGACAGGTTTGAACGTAAAACTAATAGGTATAGGTATCATAGGCAATGATACCTGCGGTTTTCGATGTATCTGTGCCGGTCTATTGAAACCGAAACCCCGCGGCTCTAAATAGAGTCGAAAAACGATACAGTTTCCATCATCATGACAGAACGCGATTGATATTCAATGTGACATACATTCGTCGTGAAAGAGTTGCAGAAGCGTGGCACGTATGTAGGACTAGCGTCTAGCGAGTACTATAATACCTGTATATAATATATATAAAAGCGCACTTCCACAAAACAGGAATAGCCGAGTATTCCTTTCCATTTATCATTTTTTTCATAGCAATTTTTTCATTTTTATTTTTTGTAATATATGTGCATTGTTCGTTTTCATTCGGTGAAACTTTATGAATCACGTGCGCGTTTGCAATAGAAATTGAAACTAGTCATCGGGTATACGCGGTACTGGATTTTAGGTCAGATCCTTGTTGACGTTTTTCAAAACGTACCTACCTATAGTCCATGTTCTGAATTTACGCCACTATTTTGTACTTGCAGCCAACGAACGGCGGAGAAATGTCAAAAACGATGACAATAGTCGCAGTAATAGTATACAGCGTACCCGCCCAAAACGGAAAACAATCGGAATAGTAATAATATGTAATACGCATTATTATAATATTTAGTATAGGTACGCATAATATTATGGTATAGTATATTACTAGCAAAACAATCGTATAAAGAGGATATAAGCCCACACACACACACACACACACTCATGCTCTCTCACCACGTATATAAAGCTAAGTTTTAAAAGGTTTTTAGAAAGTAATAATGACGCCAAATTAGACAAAATGAAACAATATATTTAGTTACAGGGATTAGAAAATCAATAACTAGTTTTAATTTTTACTCTTCAGTCTTCACTCGTATTTTAAACGCCAAACAAACACAGCTGGTCTAATACACCTAGAGTTTGAGGTATTTTGTTAACTACAATAGGTATTGCCTAATCGATGATTAACTAGTAATTTTCATTTGCGTTTCGCACACATGACACGATCGTGATGAGCGAACGTAGTACAATAAATGTTTATTTTACTATACGATATTAGTTGATGTATTATGATGTTTTGTAATATACAAATATAAAACCGGTAATCAAAACAACGAAAAAAAAACAAAATTTATTAACTTTCACGTTGGAGTGTAAAATTTTATCGATAAACCATCATTTATGTATTTATATATGATATAATAACATACATTGAGTCCGAAAATCTGTTTTTAGTTTTAAACTCATAATACTGCGATAATTTGTAAGCGTCGCCATCGTTTTTGTTAGGTAACAAATATAAATAATAGGTAATAAATTAATTATACTAAGAAATGAGAACTGTGGCCTAATTGTTCGGTCATAATCAATTAGTAAAAGTTAAATCCACAATATTGAAATTTTCTCTAAAATCTTGTTTGGTTAACAGTTAAAAAAGTAACGAACACGACCAACCTGTATATTATAACATGTAATGTTAAAAATACTATAAACAATTTATTATATACATATTACATGTATAATAAAAGTATATTTTATGTACCGCAGAAAACAGCTAGAAACATCGTCTGATGGACTTGCATTCACAACCACTGTATATAACACCGGGAACAAGGGTGTCGTAATATCGTGAAGAGTATACTATAAAAAAATACCGTCGCTTGAATATAATATATAGGTACCGGTACCCACTTGTATTATTACAATACCTAACGATAAAGTAACACACGTCCACAGTTGCACGCCTTACAGGTAGGTACAATGTTCATATAATATTTAATATAATTTAGAGATTGGCGATATACGTCATACGTAGAGAAAATGTGCAAACCGTTATCGATTATTATATTATCATAATAATATACTACAATACATAATAATAAAATAGCGAAATTGGTACTTCGAAAATTGTAATTTCCATACCCGAAACTATGTCCAAATATATATATATATATATATCCTAGTTCATCCCTATTCCACCTAGGCCTACATCCACACGTCTTGTTTTTTGGAATTTGAATATAAACGCCGCACACACACACACACACACACACACACACACATACACACTCACACATTCATTATGGCATAAAATATAAATTTTAATCGATGACCCGGAGGCGGCGAGGGCGCGATTTTTAGCCGCAGACCACGATAACTATATACTTATACACTCTACAGTATACCTACTTATTTCGTATTATTTTCACTCCCTTCCTAGCATCCCGTCCCACTAGTGCGATTCACACATTTATAATAATAATGTATAATATGATATTTTATCTTATACTATGTACTATGTACAGAAAAAATATAAATATATCTCGCGATAAACACGATAATAATATTGTGATACATACGCATAATAATATAATATTATATTACGAGTGCAATCGATAGCGGCGGTGAGGGACGGGGGGCATCATATTCGTTGTTCACGTGTGCAAAACATATCCATACGGGCGCTACGATAATATTGTTATTATTTTGTTACATTCGCGGCGGCTTTCTCCTGCGAAACGATTTTGACGGCATTGCAGCGGATAAACATCGATAATGGCCGAGGCCGAGACCCCGTGTCCGCGACGGCGGGCCGGTTCACCCGCGTTGCGTCGAGCGGCGCGTCACGATTCGCGACGCGCATCTCCGCCGATTGGAGAATTATGTATAATTAATAATAACACGCGAACGCTGCGACCGTCTAGCGTTGTTGCGCAATACATAGCGGACCCGCGGAAATGAAGATGGGCGCGAACGCTCAAACAGATAGGTACCTGCATAATGTACGCGACCACTTTTTGCGCTTTTCGTCGGGTCGAGACTTTACGCGATTGCCGATTCGAAAGTCGGTTTGTTTCACTATTACATACGACGATGACGACGACGAAGACAACAAAATACGACAACCGGCGACTCCGTGTTACATTATGCAGACGCAAACGCGCGACTCTCAAACTCTAGTTTTCCTATTGCCTGTATATTACTATAAATTATAATATTATGCACACAAGATCGGTATATGGATAGACTCTGAAAGTCTGAATCGCCTTGAATGTGGTAAGTCGTCGACGTCTTCGTTGCACGGACAGAGCTGGTATTATAATAGGTATCTGCACCCGGGTTGCGGTCGCCCGCGGTACAAGCGGTATAATATTATGAACACGGTTCCCCCGACGAAGGGATGGCGGGGTGATGTGAACGCGAATCCGGTTTCGGTGCAGACGCCCGGTCATATTATATTATACTTGCAATATTCACATATTACGTTATTGCAATTCGCAATCCGCTGACACTATTACACTAGTACCACAGACTGTGCAGCTTTATACATAATAAATTAATACACGAGTATCGATATCGATATATTTCTCCGTGTTCACTATCCAGCAATAAAACATGATTGATCGTGTATGTCTTCAACGATTACGCCGCTGATGTGGACGGTATACGATTTAATCGTACGAATAACAATGATTAGGTATGTATGTTTGATTGAAAAAATTATATCATTTGATAGCCTAGCTGTAAGTGTTTAGGTATACCGTATATTTATACATATTTTGAATTTACCGTATATTAATTATTTTGAATTTTTGCTCCACATAGCTGCGGACGCGCGAAACGCGTTCATAGTAGCGGTTTGAAGCGTTATAACCTAATTTAAAGATTAAACCTATATACATGTTATACAGTTTTTGCGCAGATGTTATTTTATATAGGTACATGCATGGATGTATAAATTAAAGTACACTTAATAGCTCTTTACTCGAGTATTTTTAAGCATAATAAATTAATAACTGTATCATATTATACTAGTGTAACGTCGAGTACACTGCTGTACTTATATTATTATATAATTATCTATAACGACTTAATTCATACACAGTCCAGTTTTTCGTTTATCATATTGGACACGTAGCTGTTTTGGTCGCAGTCAGTGTAATTACTCCATGGTCGATAAGCCATAGACGATTTGCGTAAACCATACTAATTATCTATATTATAATTTATATGTGAATTATTAATTGTTTTTATTCACAAATTCCAATGCAACAATACATAAACACCCGCATCATATATTTGTTTGTATATAGATTCTAAAATACTTTATAGAACATTTGAAGTATATGCACGAGGAAATTCAATGCCGTAATGGTAATTACAGTAATTACACACACATAGATGTTATGATAATATATTTTCCAAACACCCGCAAACCTCGGCGGTATTTCAGTAACTCGTGGTACGGAGATTTAGAAGAGTACAAGCATAACAACGCGGTTATACGATTAAATACGGTTTTTTATTTTAGGTAGGTATTTCAGTATTTGTTTGTACCTATACCTATTATAAACGTTTACTATAATTTACTGAGCAAACATTAACCACGGCACGACACATTTACCGTGAATATAGCGTAAAATGTATATTATATAGGTACACCGTTACGATTATTATTGTGATGAATACAAAAAAAATGATTTATATAGTTGAAAAACATACTTCAGCGTTATAATTAACAAATGTTATTTCTTAAAAACTATACTATTTTTTATAATATAATATGTTGTGTTCAATGAATACAGTTTTTAGAGACATAAATACCGTTATTCTTAATGATGTATAAATATTTTATTCAATTCAATAGTTAAATTTTAAC